AGAGGTCCTGGATGAGACAGAAGGGAGTGAACTGAAATAAAGGATTTGTTGGAAAAGGGAGAGAAATAAAGGATTTGTTGGAAAAGGGAGAGGGAGGGAAGGGATCAAAGGGTGCAAGAGTACGATGTATTTCTAATATCCTTTATAGCTGACAAGTGTATAGCTGACACCTTCTCTTATCACAGAGCGACATTCCACAGTCGTGGGTCGGCCCAAATAAAAATTGTTCATTTGTTCTGTGAACCAATCACGTTTATATATATATGCAGGTACGGGCAAAAGGTGCAGGGGGAAGGGAGCGGTGGGCTGTAGAAAAGGGGATTGGTGTGTATTGGGCGGAGAGGGGTTAGAGAGTGCAGTACACGCTGAAATCACTTTTCAACATAATACACATTATTTATATTATTATATATTTGCTATTGAAGGAGGAGTGGGGTCACCTGTTTTCAGAAGTAACAATCAATAAGCGAGAAAATTTGTATGATTCACAAAGCTTGGGAGTGCTTGGAAACTACAAATTTACTTTTTTTTGTGGTGCCTTCAATCCACATTTTTCCGTAAAATCCAAACAGACATGTGTTTTTAGAGGTATTGAGGCAAAAAACAAAAATTGATATTTTTTTAATTGCCAAACTGTCGGAAAAACATGATATCTTCAATTTAACTATCTTTACGAGCATTTGATTTCACCGCGTTGCCTCACATATCATCATATTATTGGTCGCTGCTTTTTATTTTACGAAAGCATCACACTCCTAATTATTGTCCGGGATTACTTGCATGCCTGGTAAAGCTATGAAACAAAATCGACGTGAAATGGGTGTATTAACGAATTGAGAGAGTATCCTATAAAAAAGTATTTTTGGTCGATCTGTCTCTCAAAGAAAATATCAGTGCCAGTCCAGTTAACGGTCTACCCTGATGTTTCTAGTCTACTTAACGGTCTATTTATCTATCTATCTACCAGTCTGTCTGTTTGTCTGTTATAATAATAATTATTATTATTATTATTGTTATTATTATTATTATTATTATTACTCTTACTATT